GCTATCCTTCTATCATGCAGACATCAGGTGTCATGACCGGGAGATCACTCTCTATCATCCGAGAGACGAGTCGATTACTTTCTTCAGTTCCAAGAATCGTTCACTGCCTCATGTTGTTTCGATGGTGAAAGCCACTAAGCTACTGCGACGAGGCAACTGCCAGGGTTATCTGGTTAGCCTTGTCGCTTGATTCTCAGAAAGCGCGAACACCTCATGATGTTCCAATCATTCGCGAGTTTGTGGACGTGTTCCCAGACGAGCTTCCAGGAGGACCGCCTAACCGACAGGTGGAGTTCTCTATCGATCTTATTCCAGGGGCCGGTCCAGTGTCCAAAGCCCCGTATCGTATGGCGCCTAAGGAGTTGCAGGACCTGAAGACTCAGATTCAGGAGCTGTTACGACTCGGTTTCATCCGACCGAGCGTGTCACCTTGGGGAGCACCCGTTCTCTTTGTTAAGAAGAAGGACGGATCCATGCGCATGTGTATCGACTACTGGGATCTTAACCGGTTGACGATCAAGAACAAGTACCCGCTCCCCAGGATCGACGATTTATTTGATCAGTTGAGGGGAGCCTGTGTATTCTCAAAGATTGATTTACGATCAGGCTATCACCAGCTGAAGATTAAGGAATCAGATATCCCTAAGACCGCTTTCAGGACGCGTTACGGCCATTACGAGTTCGTCATCATGCCTTCCGGTCTCAGCAATGCATCAGCAGTTTTCATGGACCTCATGAACCGTATTTTCCATCCCTACCTCGATCAGTTCGTTATTGTCTTTATTGACGATATTCTTATCTACTCGAAGAGCCAGAAGGAGCACGAGGAGCATCTGAGGGTGGTTCTCGAAACCCTCAGACGAGAAAAGTTGTTTGCCAAATTTTCCAAATGTGAGTTCTGGCTCCAACGAGTATCCTTTCTGGGTCATGTGATTACTCAGGCAGGTATCGAGGTGGATCCTTCTAAGCTCTCAGCCATTCAAAACTGGTCGACACCGAGGAGTCCGTCCGAGGTTCGCAGTTTTCTCGGTCTA